TTTAATCTGATATTTTCTTGTTAATTCAGTTTTTTCACAAAAATTTAAATCGTTTAAAATTTAGTTTTTTTCTTCAATCAAAACTTTGTTGTTAATGATTTCATCTTTATTTATGAATGAATGAACCTTGGCAGAGTTTAGTTTTGCTCAGAGGAACGTCGGCAGTCGTAACAGGGTGACTGAGGTTTTTCTATCGTTTCGATAGGAAAACACGACAAGTGACATCATCACCAACCTGACGCCCGGCGCCCAGTACCGGGTGACGGTTTATCACACCAACGGGCCTCTGATCAGTCCTCCGTCTGAGCCCGTCATCATCGACATCGGTGATTATCTCACTTCTTTGTTCACATGTGGATTTTAAATGTCTGACTGCACACGTACTCACGCACTTACACTCTCATGTGACGTCTTAGAACCCACGGGCGTCCGCGAGCTCGCCGTTTACCCTCTGAGTCCGACGGCGGTGATCCTGAGCTGGCAGCGTCCGTACCACGTAGCCTTCAGGAAGTACGTGCTGCAGACCTTCTTCTTCAACCCCGTCACCCTGGCGTCAGAGTGGACGACGTACTATGAGATCGCTGCCACCGCCTCCATCATCGCTTCAGTGGTAAAGAGACCAGGAGTTTGACCACTGACCTCTGTTATAGCGCCACCTTCAGCTGATGATCAGGAGTTTTGTTTGGTTTCGTATGATTTTTTTTAACTTCATTTTTTTTGTTTCCTGTCAGCGGGTGACCGACCTGCTGCCGGCGTGGTACTATAACTTCCGTGTTTCCATGGTAACGTGGGGCGACCCTCCGCTCAGCTGCTGCGACAGCTCCACCGTGAGCTTTGTCACAGGTACGGACAGAACAACATGCCACTTCCTGTAGTTATTTCACAATAAAAGCCTTGCAGCTGGTCATAGTTGTTGACCTGGTTCCAGCTCCGGAGGCTCCTCACGTGTCGTCGGTGGATTATTCTCACGGCGTTCTCTACATTCGCTGGACGTACGGAGAACTCTTCATCGACCTGTCACACTCCAGGATGCTTCACTGGCAGGTCGTCGCTGTGGGAAAGAAAGGAGCCGAGAGGAGCTACTCTGTGGACGTGAGTCACTCATTCACTCATTCACTCACTCATTCATTCATTCACTCACTCATTCATTCATTCAGTCACTCATTCATTCATTCATTCACTCATTCATTCACT